CCACATTTTCTTAATCCATTCGTCAGTGGTGGGGCATCTTGGCTGTTTTCATAACTTGGCTATTGTGAATAGTGCTGCAATAAACATGGGTGTGCAAGTGCCTCTGGAGTAACCTGTGTCATGTTCCTTTGGGTATGTCCCCAGGAGTAGGATTGCTGGATCATATGGAAGATCTATGTTAAGATTTTTAAGAACCCTCCACATTTTTTTCCAGAGTGGCTGCACTAGCTTGCATTCCCACCAGCAGTGTAGTAGGGTTCCTTTTTCCCCACATCCTCACCAACACCTATTGTTGGTGGCTATTCTAACAGGGGTGAGGTGAAATCTTAGTGTGGTTTTTATTTGCATTTTCTTTGTGGCTAGAGATGGTGAGCATTTTTTCATGTGTTTTTTGGCCATTTGAATTTCTTCTTTTGACAAAGTTCTGTTTAGTTCAGCTGCCCATTTCTTTATTGGTTTATTAGTTTTGGGAGAGTTTAGTTTTTTGAGTTCCCTATATATTCTGGTTATCAGTCCTTTGTCTGATGTATAGCTGGTAAATATTTTCTCCCACTCTGTGAATGGTCTCTTTAGTTTAGAGACTATTTCTTTTGTTGTGTAGAAGCTTCTTAGTTTTAGGAAGTCCCATTTGTCTATAGTTTCTCTTAGTTGCTGAGCTGCTGGGGTTCTGTTGAGGAAGTCCTTGCCTATACCTATTACTTCCAAAGTGTTTCCTACTCTTTGCCAGGGAACTCTTAATTTCATTTATTGTGCTTTCCAGTTGTATAGTCTCAACTTTGCTATCATTGACATTTCTTAGTTCCAGTTCCCTTAGTTAAAACACTGTTTTCCTTTATGCCTTTGAATACATTTCTTTAAACATATGTAGAAGTGACATGGAAGACTTCATCTGTTAAATCTAATGTCTAGGCTATTTTAGGTATAGTTTCTGTTGACTAACTTTTTTCCTTGAATTTGAACCATATTTACCTATTTATATGTCTAGTAATTTTTTTTCATTGAATATTGGGCATTATTCATATGACATTAAAGAGATCAGGCTTCTTCAACCTTTTTCTGAAGAATGTTGATTATTACTTTGGGGAGTTCAGTTACTAACTTACCACTCTTGGTTTTAGATTTTGTTACTATAAATCTGTGGAAAACCATTCCCAACCCCTTCTGATTTGTTGAGACTCAAACTCTGAAATGTTTCCTCTGCAAATCATGTTGGAACTTGATTTTAGGTTTTATTAGGGCATGTCTAGAAAAGACTTCCCAAATATGAATTGACCAAATTCTTTCTTAGTTTATCCTTAACTTACGGCAAAAACTAAGAAAATGTTTGATTTGGGTCTGGTTCTCTTCTTATTTTTAAAATTATTTTTAAGGCAATAAATACATGTTTTAATTGAAGGCATGAAAGAAAATATACAGATTTAGCTTACAGATAATACACGTTCAAAAGCAGCACTTCAATTCACAGTATATTGCTAGATGTGAAGGACCGGGCTCAGCATTGTTTAAATATGATTGAGCAATTTTGTTTTGTATATGGATAACTAAACTATGTTTAGTTTATGAACCCCAAAGTTTTAATAGTTGGAACAAAGGGTATTCTGTTTATTGTCTTCAACCAGAAAGGCAGTGTTTGCTCTGGATTTCTTAAATTCAGTTAAAAGAAAATTACACTTCCCCAGGTGTGATAAATCCTATAAATATTTATGTCAGCAATGAAGACCAGCTTATGTAAATTAATTGAGCTCCCATTAGTTATTTTATCTATATTCTATTAGGAGCCAGCTTTTGGCAAAAAGGGGATCTGTTTCTTCTGTGTTATTTATACCCACAGGCTACCCAGAAATCACTGTCTTAAGCCAGGACATTGTAAACAATTGAAATAATTCATGTTTAATTTTTAGGGTTCACCTTTAGATGTTCTTAAAGATGAAAGGGTTCAGTACTGGATTGAGAATTACAGAAATTTATTAGATGCCTGGAGGTTTTGGCACAAACGAGCTGAATTTGATATTCACAGGAGTAAATTGGATCCCAGTTCCAAGCCTTTAGCACAGGTAAGTATATTGTTTTGGATCGAACATGATATTTCATTAAATGAGTTATTATCAGCTCCTTCCTTTCTTATGTTGAGTTCCTGTGGATGTCTTTATCTATTCCAGACTACACTTTGTTCTTGATCTTCCTGTTCCTTGGTTCTGCCCCTTCCTAATAATCACAGGCAGCCTGAGCTTTAATCTGAAATAGAAACAACAGCAGACCCAGAGAGAGGGACTTAGGAAAGCCTAATGCCTATGGCTTTCTGAAGTTTTCCAGTACTTGACAGTCTCTTTCAGAATCTAAACTCTTACATGATCCCACTACATGTTGGTTTTCTTCATTATTTATATGCAGTAGAGCAGGATGTGGGATTTTTTTTCATTTAAGAGTATATGTATATGCTTATATGTCTAATCACACATAAAATTCTTTTTTCTTTTACTATTAGTTTAAAAAATATGAGATCACTCATCTCATAAGATACATGACATAAAATCACTTAAAATCACTATAGTAGTTAAAATGTTGAATATTAGGTTATCCTCAGTGTGAGCACTGGATGGTGCTATTTTCTTATTTTAGGAAATTGAAAAAGTAATACACTTATATTAAAACAACCAGAGTATTGGTAAAATACCTTTGTGTTGCAGTGTGTGTTCCTAATCTGTATAAGTGATTAAGAGCTGAGGAGTTTATAAATGTGCAGCTTATATTGGCTATTATTCTAATGTGCCATTATAGGATCCTTAAGTCCTTTTTATCTTACAAACAAAATTTTTATAAGGAAATGTTGTTCAGAAGATTATGTCATTGAACTTTGGTTTAGAAGTCCTATATTGGGTATTTTGTAACGGCCTAGTATGAATTCTCATGTCCTTGGTAATTCTAAAGTGCTGGGGTCTAAAGCTCTGATTTTCCAGCAACATCAACAGTATTAAAGACTATAACTAAATATAATAGCAAGGAAGTACCCCTGTAGTGTCACTGCCAAGTGGGGATTTTAAGTAAGAGCTAGTCAGACTTAGCAAATGAATCATTTTGCAATATAAGGTCAAGTCTTCAAAATTATTCAGCCACGCGTGGTAGTGCACACCTGCAATCCCAGTACCTAGAAGACTGAGGCAAGAGGATTACAAGTTCAACCAGCCTGGCTACATAGGAGATCCTGTCTCCAAAAAAAAACAAAACAAAAGAAGTTTTTAAACAACTTTTTTAGTATCAAACTGAATTATCATTCCATTGTAATTTGCATTCCATTTCTTTCTTTTTTTATTTGTTTTGTAGGTGTTTGTGAGTTGTAATTTCTGTGGCAAGTCAATCTCCTACAGCTGTTCATCTGCCCCTCATCAGGGAAGAGGTTTTAGTCAGTATGGTGTGAGTGGTTCACCAACAAAATCAAAAGTCACAAGTTGCCCTGGCTGTCGAAAACCCCTTCCTCGGTGTGCACTTTGCCTCATTAATATGGGAACACCTGTTTCTAGCTGTCCTGGTATGACATAATTGCACAAAATATTTTTCTGAGTTCAAATTGTTCCTACATAATTGAGTTAATGTTGCAAATAAAATACATACTAGCCTATGTTTGTATTAGTTCTAAGAAAGGGCATTTTACTGACTTGAAAATTTATATGATTTCCCTAATTTATATAATCTATATTTTAAAAGTAAAATGTATATCCATGATACTTCAGATAATCTCAAGTGCTGACCAGTTTAAATTTGTGAGAAAAACTTAAATATGAAGTAATCTTATGATTATACCATTCTCTTAGCACTGTTTCCACTAATATTTTTTCAAATTTGATATTTAAGAATTATGCCCATATCTATTAATAAATACCTTACATTCCTAAGGAGCTTTGGATAGGCTCAGAGAACTTTGATATTTTCTCTTCAAAACTTAACTGTGAAATACATGGAAAAAGTATTAACCTAGAAGCTAGGTCTCTTTGAGTTTTAAGCTTTAGGGCTGCTTCTGCTATGTTTGTTAGTTACCTAGTAAATGTGTATGTATATTTTTTTAATGGTTAGAAATATTACTTTTACTATTTATAGTGAACATATGGAAAGTCTTTTGAGAATAGTAGATAATGAATATAGTGTATCTAGTAGCTGAGAATATTCCATCTGTTTACATAATTTGAAAATGACATTGCAAAAATGTTAAAAACATTTTGAATATTCAGTACACTCGTGTAAGGATGTACTGGATATAGTGTCAGAGTATCTGTTTTAGTTCTGTGACATTCAACATTTGACATTGAGTTACTTTAGCCATTTCTAATAAAAGTATTAGACTAAAGAGTCTTTCTCATAGTTTATCATGTTATTCTGAGCTTGTTCATATAAGTAGTTTGCTTTATTATTGCATTAATATCTGTGAAAGACTTTTGGTCTCATGGCTGGTCAATTATTTTTCAATCTAGATACCTTTTTAAACAAGTGAAGGCAATATGCAATGCTTAGTTTGGGATTTTTGGGTTTTTTTTTTTTTTTGAGATAGGGTCTCACTGTGTAGCCCAGGCTGGCCTAGAACTTACTATCCTCCTGTCTCAGCCTCTGGAGTGCTGAAATTGCATGCATGTACCACTACAACAGCCTTTGAGTTAACTGTCAATTAAAGATTTTTTTATTTTATGCATTGCATGATCAGGTTTCTTGTGGCCCTCATCCCAGCAAATAAAAATATTAACAATTTGGAATACCTACTACAATGAAAGAATGAAGAAATAAAATACAGTGTGAATAAATTATATATCTATGTGAACTGAGATATATAGGAGTAGTTAAATTTAGTACGTCTTCTGGACCGTCAGTGTCTGGAAGCTGTTAGGATTGTTTTCCTTCTAATGGCACCTGAGTGCTATTCATTTTTATTAGATACCAGCTTTTCAGTCTTTTCTGTTTTTGAAGTAAGTAAGAAAAAGAGTAATTTTCTAGAATTTGACGAAAAGTAAATCATAAAACATTTAAAATTGTTATGGAGACTAATAAATATTGAATATTAATATTTATTAGATCTTAAAATTTTTCCATATTTGTTTCAGAAATAATTTCTTTGTGTAATATATATTTGAGTCCTTATTTAATATATTAAGATAAGGCTGATATACTAGGATGGATCAAAGAGCCTTGGGGAGCTAATGGTGTACAATAAGCCTGGATCGCTAATATAAAATAAGAGAGGATACATTCTAGAAAATAAGTACTAGTTCACAATCCCTTGTCTTCATTTTGGAAACTAGAAAGATCTGAAAATTCAAAGTTTTCTTTTTTTTAAAGAAAGGTTTTATAATAATCTCATTTGGCAACAAAACCTGTTCAGAATTAACATGAGGTTAGTGAGATCTTTATTTCTCTTGTTTATTTGTGAATATTCATACGCTTCACTGCAAAACACTAATACTTTGAGTACAACCATCTCTTTGGAGGTGTTACTATATGTATATGTATATATATTTTTAATCCTCATTCTGAATTTTGAAAGACACTTAACCTCCTACCCACAGGGTGAATAAGGAACACTATATAAAGAAGATGTTAGGAATTTTGTAAAATAAAAGCATATTTTCTATCTGAAAGATATCTGGAATGCTTCAGGAAGAAGGTACCATGTAAGCTGGTACTTTAGAGTTCAATATTTGACTTTCATGGAAACATCTTTTTACACTCAGTTGTGCACTAGAACTCTATTAGAACAGTTCTAAGTAGCATCATTATAAATATGATAGATTTTAAAACATTTAATAAATATTTGATAGTATCTATTCTAAGTGCTAGAAATATAACTGAGCAAAAATGTTTTTGCCTCTAGAGAGTTTAACTTTTAGATTGTGACTTTTTTTTTTTTTTTTTTTGGTGGTACTGGGGCCTCACGCTAGGTAGGCAGGCACTATACTACTTGAACCACTCTGCCAGTCCTTTTTTTGTTGGTTATTTTTTAGTTTAAGTCCAAGGAGTATATGAGAATTAACAAGTACATCAGATAAGGATTTAGGAAATGGACTGATAGGAAATAGTGTAGAAAAATTAGAGGGAGCCTGAATATGAACTCTAAAGACGTTGCAGAGCTACATTAATTAAGGAATAAGTGTGTGTGTGTGTGTGTTTTAATCAGAAGAATCCTAGTTCCAGAATAAAACAGGGTCAAAGAAATCAAATACTAGCATAATGCAGAAACCACTCTGGTGCTTTACCTATAATCAGAGTTTATATCCACCCATCATGTTTCATGATCCAAATAATTCAGGTGTCCGCAAGCTTATTTAACTGAGACTTGTTAGTTGGCTTCCTTTTTTTTTCTTTCTTTTCTTTCTCTCTCTCTCTTTCTCCACCCCTGTGGAGGTGTTACTATGTATATATATATACATATATATATACACACACACACACATACACATATATATTTTTTAATACTTATTCTGAATTTTGAAAGACACTTGGCCTTCCCACCCCCTGGATGAATGAGGAACATTATTCTCTTTTCTTTCTTCTTCTTTCTCTCCCCCTTCCTTACCTCCCTCCCTCTTTCCTTCCTCCCTTTATCCTCCTTTTTGCTCTTTTTATTTTGGAGGTAGTGTCCTGCTTCTTGCTTAGGCTGACCTGGACCACAGTCCTTTCCCACTGTTGCTGGGATAACAGGCATGTGCACCACCAGACCCAGCATTTTTCCTTTTGAGATGGGGTCTCACTAACTTTTTGCCAGGTCTGACCTAGAACCATGATCCTCCTGATCTCAGTCTTCCAAGTAGCTACGATTACAAGGATGAATTAACAGTGCCCAAACCATATAGTTATTTTTATCTTTCTCTGAATGTGATCATTAAAGTGTGGCCAGTAGTGGTCCAAGTGAAATTCTAATTACAGTTATCTATGAAGTATGTCTTAGTAAGTAATGATTGGTTAATTAGACCTAATATTTTTAGTTACTCATTTTTCTATTTTGTCTCTAATTGTATGGGATTTTTAAATATTTTAATTTGATTCATTATTTTATACCAGAACACATTAAGGTAGCCAAAATTAATAGTATCAGCACTTTTAGACTATTACAAGTTATATATGTATGTGAAGATGTACATGTATAAACATGCATAATGTAATAATACATTTTCTTTAAATTTTTGTAACTATAGCATAGACAGGAATATTTATACATATGTACTATGATAAATTGAACATGAATGAGGCCCATATCTTGTTTAATTCATTGTACCTATACTTTTGATCATTCCTCCCTTCCTAGTGCACCTCCTTCATCCTCTCCAGAGGTAACCACCATCCTAAATTGCATGTTAATAAGTCTCTTACAGATTATTTTTCACTACTGTTGAGTGTCCCATTCAGTGTAGTATTTCAGTGTGGTTTTTGCACTGAAAACATTTTGGTTTCCAGTGTTTCACTATTACTATAACGCTTCTATTACCATTCTTGTATATGCCTCCTTTCAACACGTGCAGATGTCTTTCTAGTGTATTTACCTAGAAGTTGAATTGCCAAATTACAGGATTATGACATTTCAAGATTCAATTTGCTCATATTTTACTTAGGATTTTTATGTCTGTTCAGTAGGGAGATTGGTCTGTAATTTTTCTTTCTCATGTCATTTTGTCTTGTTTTGTAAGCAAAGTTGTACCAGCCTTATGAAGTGAAATGTGAAATTTCTCTTTGTCTTCTTTGAAAGAGTTTGTGTAGGTGAGAATTACCTGTCCCTTCAGTATTTGGTAAAACTCACTTGTAATCTTGACCTGGTACTTTCTTTATGGAAAGATTAAACTACTGCAAACTTTTCAAATCAGATCGTTTCCTTTGATCATTTATACTTTTCAATTTTTATTGGCTATTAAAACGTTGGGGAACGCCTGTCATTCAGTATTCATTCTGTCTATACTAGATCTTAACATAAAAATTGTGATTTAACTGTGGTGTATAATTTATATTTTGAACATAGAAATACCTTTTACAAAATTTAGAATATTGTTAAAGAAGATCATTTTCTTTTCCCGTAGGAGGATCCAAATCAGATGAAAAAGTGGACTTGAGCAAGGACAAAAAATTAGCTCAGTTTAACAACTGGTTTACATGGTGTCACAATTGTAGGCATGGTGGGCATGCTGGACATATGCTGAGTTGGTTCAGGTAATCGGTACACACCTTCTTTAATAAGCCTCTAGTTAAAGGACATAAAGCAGATGGCCTTTGAAATAGTTCAGGTTGTTTTTACTGTGTTCTATTAATGTCTAATCAAAGGATGAGTTTCTTTTTTACTGCCATTTGAGTTAACAAATATGTAGTCAGCCTTTCCATTACTAAATACCCTGTGTAATATTAAACTAAAAAAAGTTTCTACTTATATAATAGAAGTATTTCATATGGCTTAAATAGTTGAGTAGCATTGTTTAACTTTATATGGGGGGGATGATATGTTTACAGCTCTTTACAACTGACTGGATAGCCCATAATTTATTATGTAATTGAATTGTGAATGTAGTAATAGAATACATACCAAACTACCATATCAGTTCTTTGCTAAGGAAGCTTGGTATTTAGTAGGTAGACACCTCATGGAATGGAGACTCTCAAAACCATACTTTTATATTGAGCAGTGCCAGTGGCCGTGTGTGCCTCGTTATTATAACGTTCATACTCAGCTTACATTAATTGCTTTGATTTAAACTCTGAGCACATCACTGTCACCTTCTTAACTAAATGTGGTATCGTGGCATATACTTAGAAAGCAAATTTTAAGTAACTTTTTCTTCCATGTTCAGCTTAGTAATTATTTCTAATGTAATGCTCTTAGTACTTTTTTTCCCCCTGGGTTTTAATTCCTATTTTTCCCAAATACCATTTTGAAAACTTGCAATCTAGGTAGTAGTATAGAGACAAATAAATGTATGCCTGTAGGTATAGTTTGGATTTTTAACTGTCAATGACCTTTTTTTTTTTAGGGATCATGCAGAGTGTCCTGTGTCTGCATGTACATGTAAATGTATGCAGCTGGATACAACAGGAAATCTGGTACCTGCGGAGACTGTCCAGCCATAAAATGTTACCACTTCAAGAAAACCTTCAACTTTCTAATAGATGTTCTTCATAGTTCAAAAACATACCTCAGAACAAGTTACTCACGACTTTCCTATAGTGGGAAAATAAATCATTCCAACAGATGAGCAGTTTGATATTTGAGTGATTTTGGTGTTCTTTACAGAGACAAATGCTGCTGAAATGTGAACATCACAGTATGGACATAGTTCTGTTCTGTAGGTTGAAAAGTTCATTTTGGAAGAACTTTATAGGTTTTTATCAGAATTATGGATGCTATGTGAGAGTTTTTGAAATAAAAAGTACAGCACCTGGATCTTCAAAGCTGAAATTGGATATCTTTCAATAAAATCTTTACACTTTTAAAGTAAAGTGACCAATGCAGTGATTCACATGATAGTATAAGCTTATCTATGCTTAGAGTCCTTTAAGATAAGATAAGGTTATGAATTTTTACTTTTAGAATTAGAGCCCATGACCCACACTGGAGAATAAATTTTATTAATATATGTTTAATGTATATATGGTTTGTTTTGGTTTGGTTTAGTTTTTGTAGATACTAGGGTTTGAACTCAGGGCCTCACAATTGAGCCACATCCATAAGCCCTTTTTTGCTTCCATTATTTTTCACATAGAGTCTCATGCATTTGCTCTGATCCTCCTGCCTGTGCCTGCCAGGTAGCTGGATTACAGATGTATACCATCACACCCAGCTTGTTTGTTTTGACGGAGTCTCATTAACTATTTGCATGAATTGGCCTCAAATCCTGCATCTCTGCCTCCCCAGTAGCTTGATTATAATATATGTATATATATTTTAAGGAGTTTTTTCCCCTCTTACACTTTCATTCTAATACGAGAAATTTTTCTATAAACTGTTATTCTTCAAAAAGCCCAAATTAGAATGTATCATACAACTTTTTATAGTATGCACCATTTCAGGAAAACATTATAAATTTTTTAGTTTCAACCTTTTCCTTTCCAGTGTTTGGATTTGTCTTCAGGAGTTTTTTTCCATATTATTAATGTGTCACCTTGTCTTCACCATTTGGAAACATTTTACTGAACACATAGTCTACAGAAGATCATAGATGGCTAACCATTTGACATAGTATGTGTAGTGTGACCTGTCAAATTCTTGCCTGTTTTGGAATGTCTTGTTTTTTCCAAGGTGGATTGTGAGGTGTTGGGGGACACAGGATCTCTTCAGAGACTACCTTGGGTGTAAGTTGCTAAAGATAAATGTATCAGGCCAATTTGGGAACTTTGTTTTTCAATTTTTTTCTCTTTCTGTAGCTAGACAGTTGCAAAATTGTGCCATTCCTCTCCATCAGCTGCCATATACAGAGGACTGAACTGAATTTTGTAGTAGAAGTTGCAATTACATATAAAACCTAACATTTTATTTTACAGATTTTGGAGAAAGAAATATCTTAAACTGAAGATTCTTAAGAGCTTTTACATTAGCAATTTTACCTAAGGATTGTTACATTAGTTTAAGATGCAGCCTAAGTATTAATGAAAAGTAAATTAAATGTATTCTTTAAGATCGGATACAGAAGACTTTTCTAGGAAAATGTTGGAAGTAGTATATATCTACTCCAAATGTCTCGGCTATATGACAGTTTTAAAGAGTTGGAAATGGTTACAAGGTGTTTTATTTTTGTTTTTATTTGTTTTAACAAAGATTACTGTTAAGGGACTTTTTCCAGTCTTAAGTAAATCATGCTGATTTCATTTTATTAAGATGGCCTTTTTTCCCTTAATATGGCTTCAGTTGAAGTGTTCTTTTCAAGTGCTCTAGATATGAGAAGTTAGCTTTAATTATGTCAAACTCTTCCCACATGCGTTTTCATTTTTCCTTCACTGAAGCACAATATAAAACTAATGAATTTATATGAATAGTTTATAATTTGGGGGAACTATAGCATAAGACATGAATATGGAGTATATTATGTAAATAATATACTTATTTGTAATCATAGTGCAGAGGGTGACATTTAATATTGTTCCTTTTTGTCAACTTCCTGATATTTCCTTTGAAGCCCAAATATAACAATTTTTATGATGTCTGTTTGTTTTTCATTTTATATGTATTGGAATGAAAATATGTCTGAATTATTTCCCCATTTTTATTCCTAGAACACTGATATTTAGGAGTATAAACTTAAAAGATATTTTACATAAACGTGTTCAAAGTGTTTAATAAAAGTTTTTATTATTTTTTAAAATACTAAGTAAATGTGGGTTGAAGTCAGCATATCTCATGTAGAAATTATCCTATGACTCCTCTACAAATAGTACACATTAAGTAATGTTAGTGCTTATTTTGATAGCAGATTTCATACTTAATCTTACTTAGAAATAACACTTCTTTTAGGCTCTTTTTCAGTTAAATGTTCTTTCCAGAGTGGCTATTCTTTGAAATGGCATGTTTTATAAGTAGCTTTCCATTTTCAATGCTATACATAGTTAAGTATAGGAAAGAATATAGTTCTGTATTTAATTGGATGACTGAGTTTAATTTCAGTCACTCATTTTACTGCAAATAGTTAAAAGTATGGCTTTGAAATTTAAGTTATAACCCTAGCCCCAGTATCTTGGGTAAGTGGTTTGGCCCTAAGCTTCAGTTTCTTCATATGTTAAAAGAAAGCTACAGAAATACCTCCCTCACAGAGTGATTGGAAGTATTGTGTAATGTAGTAATATTAAGTGCCATATCCCTGTCACATAGTAAATGCTCTGTAAGTGGTGGTGATTAACAGTAATCACTGCCTTAATCTTTATTGGTTATTCATGTGTCAGTACTTTTTAGTGAATATGATATAACTTGTGTGAAGAATCTACATTTGTCTTAGTAGTGAAAACTTCCTAAGAATAATAATTCAAATAAAGGATTAACAAAAGTAGTTAAGTATGGTCTAAAAGGAAAATGCCATAGTTTGGATAAAATTGGGATATTACTTAGTGATATGCAACAGTCCTCCAAATGGGAGTCTGTATTCCCATTTCCTGCATGCGGAGCAGAAATTGTTACTCCTTTTCCTCCCATTTCTCCCTACTTTCATCCTGTTATGCTTAATTCCTTTCCCAGTAAACTTTACTATTGTTCTTACTTAAAAAAAAAAAAAAGTCCTCCTAATGACTACCTAGGTATTCAATGTGATATAAGAGTGAGCCCAACTATGAAAAAATGTTATGGTGGATCTGGTTGGTTGACCAGTGACTTGCAGATACGAAGTTTTCATATTTATGTTCAGCTTTTAATTTAACTGTTTAAGTTGAACTTCATGCTTCTGTATTTAACTCCCTGATCTTCACACAAGAAAATATCAAAGATTATCTGTGTAATTCTTCCTTTTCTGCCATCCTATTACATTTGGTGTTCATTTAAAAGTTAAAATATTTATGATAGTGATAATTTTAAAAAAGGACATACACTTTGAGATTTGTTCTGTCTAGGAATAGCCATAATTAAAACAATTGGGAACTAATTAGTCATTCATCATGTGTAACATCTCCTCTGAGAGAGGTATCAGAAAGATGGAAGGGACATGTTCTTTGTTTAACATCCTTATTGAAGTCGTATAACCCTCATGGCAATGGCAGAGGTAGGGTTAGCAAGATAGCATCTTTTTATCCACTATTCTTACTCTTTTCATGAAGTCATCTGTCTAGTTCCCATCCTTTCTGAACATTTTGTAGATCACTGATAAAAAGGCAAGTGCTTTTTTTAAATTCTAATTTTTATAAAAATACTTTTTCTGAGTATGGATGCAAGGAAAGCTCAAATGTTTTTAAAAGTTAACTCAAATAACAGATTAACATAGGTTGAGGGCTGGGGTATACTCAGTGGTAGAGCACTTGCCTGGAATGCATGAGACCCTGGGTTCAATCACCAACACTGCAGGAAAAAAAAATAGGTTGACAAAACAACTAACTTTACTTGTAATTTATATAGTACATGATAAAGTCACAAATAATGTTAGTATCAAACTGACAGTTTATTGAGAAAAATGGTTACTCTTAGTGTTTACTGTGTACTGGTGCCATGCACCTTATACTGTTCAATTTGCACATAACTATATGAGGCAACTTTAAGTGCAGAGACATTAGGTCACTTTCACTAGGCAAAATTAGGACAGCTGACAAATACAAGTGTTAAGTCACTAACATGTTGATTAAAGAAACAGGACTGGGGACATAATTCGGTCATAGAGTGTGTGCTTAGCATGGGTTCTTTGTGTCCCACACACACGGTAGAATACCCTTCACTGTTCTGCATAGATTAAAAGGAATGAGAAATAATATACCTTTTGGGGGTATAAGGGAATTCTGAGTGAACAGCTTGTGAGAGTTTAAGTCAATATGAGTGTTCTTTGAGTAAGCGATAGTTATCAAAAGCCTTAAAAATGTTCATGCCCTTGGACATAGTATCCTGGAATTTTTTTCTGAGGGATTGACTGGATAAATACAAACGGATGTATGTTTGTGTGGTACGGTTCTTCATGGTATTGTTTGTGATAAAGATGTGGATGCCCAAATGTCCAGCAATAAAAGAATAAATTAGGCTTATGCATATAGGGGGTACTAATAAACTACTCAAAATTGTAGGTATTTTTACTCACAACGAGGTATGATATTGTTGGTAAGTGAAGGGGAAAGGCAAGTTACAGGAAAACATGTACAGTGTATAAATATATTTGCATGGGGAAACTTAAAGAATACAGACTTAACTATTTAGGATGGGATTTTGAATAAAATTTTTCCCCTTAACATCTGCATCTTTGATAAGTTTTAAATAATGAGGGATGTATAAATAAATGTATAGGCATATCACACAAATATAACTGGCCATTATGAAAGTTGTCATGACCAGATATCTTGTTATTACCGTCATGAGACAACCAAATAATTGGAATTTATTCTATGAGGTAAAAAGAAGCATGCTACAAAGTATTATGAAAATTAACAGAGACCTAATTTTTCAGAAAGCATATCTTGAGTTTCATATTCTATAGTAGTAACATGGAAATAACAAAAAGATGCAATCCTTTCTTAATCATCACTTTCATCATATTTGGAAATTTGTATTTTGTTCTCCCATTAGCATATTGAGAAATGAATGCTTAAAATAATTCTGATTTCCTTGAGGTTTTCCCTGGGGTTAGTGATACATAAGAAGAACCTTATTTCGTTATTTTCTCAATCTTCATGAGATTTCCTGACTTTGTTTTAGCTCTGGGCCTATGACAGGAAAACTGACTACTATGTAGAGAGTTTATTTGATTATTGTCCAATCTGGTGTGTATTTTACTTAGTTCATTCCCAGTAGGAAGTTACCTATGATTAAGTGGTGAATTCTGAACAAGCCTGCAATCCATGCTTTCAACAAACCAGCAAGCATTTTCATGCCTGGTGTGCTAGACA